AAATTTTAGAGACACTAAATAATTTTTATTTCAATGAAGATTCTAATTTATTTATTTTGGGTGACTTTAATGCTCAGATGGGTGAGGAAAATGTTATCCCTGACTACATTGGTGATGCTTTTGGTATTGATTTTGCTGAAAGAAGCAGGACATCTAGAGATGTTATTGTGAATAGCAAGGGTCAAAAGTTGCTTCAATTTTGTGTAGATAAAAATCTAATAAAATTAAATGGTAGAATGTCTGGCGATGAAGCTGGCGAATATACATTTGTGTCTAACTTGGGTGCTTTGGCTATTGATTTTGGTTTGTTTTTGTGTAGGGGGTTGTGTTAAATCTTTTTTGTTGATGATTGTTGTTTATCAGATCATTTTCCTATAGTATTATGTTTGGACAAACCTGTGCAATCTAAGGTAAATAACTGAATAATAAGGGAAGTTTGTATCAAAGAATTTTTTGGAGTTGCGAGACTATGAACAGTTTTGTGCTTGATATGAAGAAATATTTCTTAGATGGTGATTATCTGTCTTTATCAATTGTTAGTAAATTAATTGTCAAGATGGCTAATTTCCATAACCAAATGTTAAACCAAAAGATTGTATAAATATTAATAATTGGTTTGATCTTGACTGTCGCCTAATGATCCGTAACAGAAAGAGTTTGGCGAGCCTTTAAGAAAAATGGTTTGGAATCATATCATAAATTATTTGTTATTTCGTGGTTTGGTTAAAAAAGTTTGTTTAGCTAAAAAAAAAGTTTTTGTATTCATTCATGAGTGTTCTGTCCGAGGACAGGTCCTTAGATAGCTGTCAAATTATAGAATTCTCCTTCTCCAATATTCTCTATTTTGGGCTTCCTCTTTTATTTCTTTATAAGTTTTGCCTAGTAAAACATCATCTATCAATACTTTTCTTTTTCTTCTTTGTTTCCTTGCATCAATTTTTCCTTCTAATGCCACTGCGCATTAATCCTTCTCCTCGCAATGTATGACCTAGCCAGTTAGTTTTTCTTCTTTGTATTGGTTTTAAAAGAGATCTCTGTTCCTGGACCAAATTTAAAACATCTTCATTCTTAACCTTTTCTGTCCACTTGATTTTCTCCATTCTTCGCCATAACCACATTTCATATGCTTCAAGGTAGTTTGTTTCCTTTTTCCTTAAGGAAAATTTCTCTAGCAAACTTTACTAAAGGGCAATTTCTTTTCCTACCAAAAACTAGTGAAGGAAAATTTCTCTAGCAAACTTTACTAAAGGGCAATTTCTTTTCCTACCAAAAACTACTGAAGGAAAACTTCCCTAAAAAACTTTACTAACAGTTCAGCATTCTGGTATTTTCCATAAAAATAACAAATGGTTTGGGAATTTATGTAAAATTAGAAATTGTAATAGTAGAGTAAACATTTCATTGGAGGAATGGTTTACTCATTTTTATTCCTTATATGGTTCTGCACTTCCTTATATTGTAGATTTGTCTGTCTTCATTAAGTGTTTAATTTGGTCTGATGAAATTTTTAATGTGGACATTATGGACTCTGAATTGAGCTATGTTTTAAGTAAAGTTAAAGCTGGTACTGTGCCTGGAGTTGATGGTATATCTTCTGAATTTTAAATTATGGATTCTGTTTGTCTGATATTGCTTAGTTTTGATAGAATCTTGAGATCTGGGGTAGTCCCAAAAGATTGGAGTAGTGCTATTCTATGTTCAGTATATAAAAATGGCTGTATTATGTTTTATTTGAGAATCAGCCCTGTTTACATAAAAAATATTCTATGCTAGACAATGTTTTTATTCTGCATACTCTTATTACTAAGACATTAATGAGAAAAAGGCAAAAAGTATATGCATTCTTTGTTGATTTGTCCTCAGCTTTGGATACTGTAGATAGGAATTTAATGTAGAACAAACTCTTGAAATATGGTATTAGCTTTAAATTTGTTTCTTTGCTTACAGAATTATATAGAGAATCTAATGTGAAGATTAAATGGGGCTGTCTTTGTTCTAGGTCTTTTTTTCATTGCTACTGGGGTTAGATAGGGCTGTGTTTTAAGTCCTGTGTTGTTTAGTATATATTTAAATGATTTAATTGAATAAATAACTAACTCTGACTATGAAGGTATCGAGGTGAATGGCATTAGTATCAAAATATTGGCTTATGCAGATGACATAGTTTTGATTGCCGACTCTGTTAGAGGTTTACAAGGATTTATTAACATTTTGGATAAATATTTATTAAAAAATAATATGATCTTGAATCTCATGAAATCTAAAGTTGTTGTCTTCCGTAATGGTGATAAACTTGCTAAATGGTGGTTTAGAAACAATGTAATACAGGTAGTTTCCCAATATAAATATCTGGGTGTTATATTTAAGTACAATGGAAAATTTAAATATCATATTCAGACTGCTAAAAGGAATGCTTTTATTAAAAATGATAGTTATTCAGATGTGTAGATCGGCCAAATTATGTAATTTAAAAATTGCTTAAGGATTTTAAATTCAATTGTTACATCATCTTTGTTATCTGCATCCGAGGTTTGGGGATACCAATCTGACGAGTTAGATCCGGTCTTGGTTAATTTTATTAAAAAGTTATTTGGTTTGTCTTGTTGTACCCCAAGTTACTTGATTTTTATAAAGTGTTCGCTATTACCTTTGTCCTTTACAATATTAAACAAGTGTTTGAATTGAATCTTCAGGACTATTGAATTGGATAAAAAGCAATGGAGTAGAATGTGTTTATGTTATGTGTTAAATAAGAGGAACTTTCTGTGGTCCAAAAGTTTAAGGAAAATTTGTGTTAATAATGGTATTAATTTTGATGAATTACTAAATAATTATTATTGTTGCTCTACTTTGAAATAAAATTATCAAAATAATTTTATTTCAAATTCTTGATTTGAATCGACATATTAATGTAAGCTCTTATAATGTTTGGTATAAGCACTTAAACAAATCTTTTTTTGACTTTTCAATTTACAATAATAATTTCTCTTTTAATTTTAGCTCTACAGTAATACAAATCAGATGTAACTCTCTTAATTTTTTACAGAATTATCGCAGAGAAATTTGCATATATTGTCAGTATGATCAGCTATTGGATGCTTTTCACGTGACAGCTAGATGTATTAATTTAGAAAAAATTCGTGAAAGTGTTTTTGGTATCTCTATTATTCCAATTGAGAATTTTTTGGACCTTTTTGGTAATTTACACAATTTTGATTTAATTAATTTTGTTCAGAAGATAAGATTACCTAAAAAATAATTTAATGTTGACTTATTTTGTTTCAGTGATCCTTTGTACTGAGTGTGATGTACAATTTTGTTTAGTTTTGCATATTGGGGTATTCGATTTTGCTCAAAAGTGGCATTTGCTTTTTCTTTTAAAAGTGTGTTCGTGGCTAAGAAGTTTTGGGAGACTATCCACATTTTNTTATATAATTTTAATTATTATAAAATAGCAAATGACTTAATTTTGAGAGTAGAGACGAGTTTTAAAAAACACACAAACACACAAAATTTTTTTGCCATTTTTTTTCCTTTTTCACTTTTTTCAATTCAGGAGGTCTTAAAACATAAAGATTTTATAAAAGAACTCTGACAGCCGAATGCAGAGACAGAGTTTATGTTAAACGACATTTATCAACAGAACGGATATTAGCTGGCATTGGCTATAAATATTGGCTGGCTAAACTGTGGTTTAAAATATGTTGCAAAGACAACGATCATCTATTTCATATCTATTTGTCCTCTAAACGAACTTCGGCAAAACATTGGCTGTTACTTTCTTCGCCATTACTCCCGTTTTAAAAGTCATTCGGCCAATCAGGTTATTCATTTGTGACGTCAGAAAAGATTGCCAGCTATATTCCGAAAGCTTCCAGAACATAAAAACTTAAGGCCATCAACAACCATTGTTCAGCAATTAATGACAATCCTTTTCCATTTTGACATTTAATTTCGTCACCAATATGGTTTAAAATATGAACAAATCCATATTTAGAAAATTTATACCAAATTTGAAAATCTTCTTTGGAATAGATTTTTAAGGAATTATTTTGACATTGTATTGTATTATTGTCTCCCTTCATAACTGTCAAAATGAATAATTTTAAATATTTTATTACTATTACATTTTTTTATTTCTATAAAAACATTTTGGTAATTATTAAAATTGTCTCGTTTGTTTAACAGAACTTTCTGACTAGGGGATTAACTACAATGATCCTGAAATGCATTAATGTTTTATAACGAGATAATACTTGAATTGTAAATAAATGCATCCGATTTAAATTAATTGTAGTTTTAAGTCTTCACCCATTTGAATATTGGAATTGGAACATTTAAAAGAAATTTAAAGTATTTAATTTTGTTATTTTTGCTCCAAGCATTTAATTAATGAATAATTTTGTTGATTTGTACCATTTACAACATTTATCAAAGGAACGATATCCATTTTTATCTAAACTTTTCCACGAACAAAGCTACCACTCAAATTAAAAAACCCTCTAAACTTGCTGTGTATGAGTCTAGGAAGTAGGTCAAATAACTTGTTTCTAATCATTGTCTACATTGTGGCAAGTGAGAAACACCATCTCTGCAATGAAATTTTTCTGAACAGTAATCTACCCAATCTGTAAACCACCGTTGGCCTCTAAACGTTGTCTCTGCAATCAGCTGTGAGGGTCAAATTTGACATGATTCCAATACTTTCCGTTGTTATGTATACATAAAGGCCAGGAAAGTAAAACAATAAAAGTATTCTTCTTTCTATGTTAAAATTATTAATTGTGAAATGACAATGATCAATTTGACAGAGTTAGGATTAAGATATCATATTTGCATTCTTAATATTTATTATAAATTTAAAGTATTTTATGCTTAATGAATGCAACTGTTCATGGATAGGTTTTATATTTTCAAATATTTCATCTTTCAAAATATTTTTAGATATTTATAATTTAAATGAAATAAATATTCTACTTATTAAAAAATAAAATCTATACCTGATCCAACTGCTTCTGTAATGTTGATTGTTCTTGACTAATTCTTGCAAGCTCTGACGCATCATGATCAGCTAATTCTTGATTATTTTTACGAAGTTGGCGTTGTTTCGCATTAAGTGCTTTTTTTAATTTTCTTAGTTTTCCAACTTCTGTTTCTAAATATTTTTGATGTCCATTTAAAATGTTTTGTTGCTGAAGTAACCACTGTTCATATTTTGCCTGCTGTTGTCTTTCCTGTTCTGTAACTGGTTCAGAAGGTGGCATCGGCGGTGGTGGTATTGAAGACATAGGAAAAGGAGGTCTTGCAATAGCTATTGCATTACCAATTAAACCTAGAAAATTAAAATATGTATATATTTTTAACCATTATATATTAACCAATCTTGAAAAATAAGTCAAAAACTATGGGAAAAACGTATTTGATTAAATATTTATCTTTTCTATTCATGCTACGTCTTCTAACCAAGTAAAATTATTTCAACTAACTTTCATTGTATTATGAGATTTAACAAAAAAAAAAAAAAATATATATAAAAACATTTTGGTAATTATTAAAATTGTCTCGTTTGTTTAACAGAACTTTCTGACTAGGGGATTTTCCCATTTTTATTACCGGAGAATGATTGTATATCTCTCTCTCTCTGGAATCATTTCCTTTCCCAGAAAACTCACTGAATGTGTCACTGAAAACTAATAGAAAAAATTCCTGATGGGTGAAAAAGGATAACATGATTTGGAGGTGTAAAAAGTAGTGACTCAAGGACAAGGGAGTTGTTGAGACTTCACAAAAGCATGAATCAAGTGTCCCGAAAAAAGGTATCATATCCAGGATTTCATACTCTGTGTTGTTTGACAGCTTCAAACTCCCCGTATTATTTTATCCTTCAATTTTCCTTAGTTTGACCACCATTCTAGGAAAAGAAAAATTAACGCCTCCCCAACCACTCCAACTGACCAAGCAACAACAACCGACAAATGTCCAAACAAATCAGAAAGATCCGGAATCTGCACTATTATGTGCAATAAATGTTTATATACCAACTCATGGTTTCTTGTAAACTCTCTCGCTCTCGCGATCGTTATTTGATATCATAAAACTATGTATTCTCCTTTTTGTTGAATTAAATCGATTATTTTAATTGTTAACCTTGGATTCATGTGATTCACTTCTGATCCGTCTCTCAATCCTTCTCCATCCCAAATCCGACTGCCCACACACATGACCACTCGCGCAAATTCCAAATTTGCGTCCATTAAGGTTTCTGTGTCTATTCTGAAGACACACTGGTGTCAGTCCTGACGAGACTTTGAAGAGGTGCCACCCCTCTGGGTCACAATATCAACATATGATAGATAGGAAAGCTAGGACAAGGAAAAAAATTGTACTATCAGTTTTCATTAAAGTAAACCTGATGAAAGATAGAAAACGAGCTGAAAATTTCAATATTCTAAAATCCATGAGCAAATTTGAGTCAACATGCATGGTTACTTGAATAAAAAAAATATCAAATAATGGAGTTTGCACTTAAAAATTGTGAACTTTTGTTTGGGGATTTTCCAAATTCTTGAAACATGTTAGAACAATACCATGTTGTAGAAGTGCCATGCTGTATGAGAGATACCTGTATTAATCAAATTTTATAATAATATAAGTCTTCACGACTTGTGTATGTGTTAGGAAACTAATTCAAAACTATAATATGAAAGGAAAATATTCATAGATTTTCTTCTCAATGTAATCTATGCCCAGATAAGCAAATGTTATAAAGTAGCATGCTGTGCTGTAATATAAACCTTTCTCACGTCTGCATATTTCTAATATAGTATGCATATGCAATAAAGCTTAAAGAGTATTTAAGACAATAATTTGCCTCTTTTCAACAAAAAAAAATCAAATATGTATTTTTCAATATCCTAAAATATATTTCTTGTAATCTGTTTTGTTTGCAGCCCATATAAACTTAAACCTTGTTTATTTGACCCATGTTAGCCTTTGAGTTTGACATGTTTAATTGCTATAGGATATTTCCAGTAGTTGTTCCAGTACTTGATATGAATAACAATAAAGACCTAATGCTACACTTGGAAGTCCACAATATTAATGTGACAAGTCAATTAAGTGCCATCAAGTTGTAACATTGCCAAACTCCTTGATCTAGTACTTATTCTCTTTTCATTTGATCACTGAATATAATCTAAACTTAACTACTGGTATTACTATACAAAAATCTTCATAATAATTAAAACAAAAATTCTAGCAACAAGTTGCATAACTTTCCTGGCTTTTATGAGATTTTATTTTAAAAATAACATTTGTATTATTAATCAAAATAAATAAAAAAAAATTGTATGTATGTGCACCATTTGTTATGATATTTTGTTATAAGAACATTATATAATTTTAATTATTATAAAATAGCAAATGACTTAATTTTGAGAGTAGAGACGAGTTTTATAAAACACACAAAATTTTTTTGCCATTTTTTTTCCTTTTTCACTTTTTTCAATTCAGGAGGTCTTAAAACATAAAGATTTTATAAAAGAACTCTGACAGCCGAATGCAGAGACAGAGTTTATGTTAAACGACATTTATCAACAGAACGGATATTAGCTGGCATTGGCTATAAATATTGGCTGGCTAAACTGTGGTTTAAAATATGTTGCAAAGACAACGATCATCTATTTCATATCTATTTGTCCTCTAAACGAACTTCGGCAAAACATTGGCTGTTACTTTCTTCGCCATTACTCCCGTTTTAAAAGTCATTCGGCCAATCAGGTTATTCATTTGTGACGTCAGAAAAGATTGCCAGCTATATTCCGAAAGCTTCCAGAACATAAAAACTTAAGGCCATCAACAACCATTGTTCAGCAATTAATGACAATCCTTTTCCATTTTGACATTTAATTTCGTCACCAATATGGTTTAAAATATGAACAAATCCATATTTAGAAAATTTATACCAAATTTGAAAATCTTCTTTGGAATAGATTTTTAAGGAATTATTTTGACATTGTATTGTATTATTGTCTCCCTTCATAACTGTCAAAATGAATAATTTTAAATATTTTATTACTATTACATTTTTTTATTTCTATAAAAACATTTTGGTAATTATTAAAATTGTCTCGTTTGTTTAACAGAACTTTCTGACTAGGGGATTAACTACAATGATCCTGAAATGCATTAATGTTTTATAACGAGATAATACTTGAATTGTAAATAAATGCATCCGATTTAAATTAATTGTAGTTTTAAGTCTTCACCCATTTGAATATTGGAATTGGAACATTTAAAAGAAATTTAAAGTATTTAATTTTGTTATTTTTGCTCCAAGCATTTAATTAATGAATAATTTNTAAAAAAAAAAACACTCAACAACTCTGGCAAAATTAAATACCAAATCATTTTATGAGGGGCAGAGGCACTCATAGGGCCTACTCTGAACTCTGAAAAGAGCCTGGGGCATTCACCCAAATACTTTTATAGTTAGTAATTTTAATATTTAACTTACATTAATATTTATTTGTATAAAAAAATTAATTTTTAACAAATATTTAATAAGAGGAGAAAAAGGGCAATAAAATTCTACATCTACATATATTCGACAGCACTTGCACTTCAATTTTACCCTTCCAGAAGAGTTCATTCATTCATTCACAGGTGTTCTGTCCTAGGACAGGTCCGTGGAAAGCAGTCAAATTATAGAATTCTCCTTCTCCAACATTCTCTATTTTGGGCTTCCTCTTTTATTTCTTTATAAGTTTTGCCTAGTAAAACATCATCTATCAATACTTTTCTTTTTCTTCTTTGTTTCCTTGCATCAATTTTTCCTTCTAATGCCACTGCGCATTAATCCTTCTCCTCGCAATGTATGACCTAGCCAGTTAGTTTTTCTTCTTTGTATTGGTTTTAAAAGAGATCTCTGTTCCTGGACCAAATTTAAAACATCTTCATTCTTAACCTTTTCTGTCCACTTGATTTTCTCCATTCTTCGCCATAACCACATTTCATATGCTTCAAGGTAGTTTGTTTCCTTTTTCCTTAAGGAAAATTTCTCTAGCAAACTTTACTAAAGGGCAATTTCTTTTCCTACCAAAAACTACTGAAGGAAAACTTCCCTAAAAAACTTTACTAACAGTTCAGCATTCTGGTATTTTCCATAAAAATAACAAATGGTTTGGGAGTTTATGTAAAATTAGAAATTGTAATAGTAGAGTAAACATTTCATTGGAGGAATGGTTTACTCATTTTTATTCCTTATATGGTTCTGCACTTCCTTATATTGTAGATTTGTCTGTCTTCATTAAGTGTTTAATTTGGTCTGATGAAATTTTTAATGTGGACATTATGGACTCTGAATTGAGCTATGTTTTAAGTAAAGTTAAAGCTGGTACTGTGCCTGGAGTTGATGGTATATCTTCTGAATTTTAAATTATGGATTCTGTTTGTCTGATATTGCTTAGTTTTGATAGAATCTTGAGATCTGGGGTATTCCCAAAAGATTGGAGTAGTGCTATTCTATGTTCAGTATATAAAAATGGCTGTATTATGTTTTATTTGAGAATCAGCCCTGTTTACATAAAAAATATTCTATGCTAGACAATGTTTTTATTCTGCATACTCTTATTACTAAGACATTAATGAGAAAAAGGCAAAAAGTATATGCATTCTTTGTTGATTTGTCCTCAGCTTTGGATACTGTAGATAGGAATTTAATGTAGAACAAACTCTTGAAATATGGTATTAGCTTTAAATTTGTTTCTTTGCTTACAGAATTATATAGAGAATCTAATGTGAAGATTAAATGGGGCTGTCTTTGTTCTAGGTCTTTTTTTCATTGCTACTGGGGTTAGATAGGGCTGTGTTTTAAGTCCTGTGTTGTTTAGTATATATTTAAATGATTTAATTGAATAAATAACTAACTCTGACTATGAAGGTATCGAGGTGAATGGCATTAGTATCAAAATATTGGCTTATGCAGATGACATAGTTTTGATTGCCGACTCTGTTAGAGGTTTACAAGGATTTATTAACATTTTGGATAAATATTTATTAAAAAATAATATGATCTTGAATCTCATGAAATCTAAAGTTGTTGTCTTCCGTAATGGTGATAAACTTGCTAAATGGTGGTTTAGAAACAATGTAATACAGGTAGTTTCCCAATATAAATATCTGGGTGTTATATTTAAGTACAATGGAAAATTTAAATATCATATTCAGACTGCTAAAAGGAATGCTTTTATTAAAAATGATAGTTATTCAGATGTGTAGATCGGCCAAATTATGTAATTTAAAAATTGCTTAAGGATTTTAAATTCAATTGTT